TAAGGATTTTATTTATTTATTTGACAGAGAGAGACACAGCGAGAGAGGGAACACAAGCAGGGGGAGTGGGAGAGGAAGAAGCAGGCTTCCTGCGGAGCAGGGAGCCTGATGCGGGGCTCGATCCCAGGACCCTGGGATCATGATCTGAGCCAAAGGCAGACGCCTAAAGACTGAGCCACCCAGGTTCCCCCTTTTACCAGCTTCTAACTTCCAAATGTATTGTTTCCCTTCCCAGAGTTCCAAGGAATCACACAGCAGACCCGGCATCCCGCCCCAACTGTAGGAGAAATTGAGGCAGAGAGCTAGGTCACAGTCTCAGCTGGGTCAGTGCAGAGGAGGGCTTTTCTAAATCCAAAGGAATGGAGAGAGGAGGGTGGGGTCTAGAGCCCAAGGGGAGTGGGTAGGTCCATGTGTTCTGTTGAGGCCTCACCTTTTTGCGGAGCAAGTGGGGCCTGGCCCAGGTCTTCCTGGGACAGTCTCTGCTTTAAGCTCGATGAACGACGGACTGAGAGATCCAGCTCCGTTTCCCCCGAGGCTGGGTCCTTGACTGGGGATGGAGCCTGCCCTCCCTTGCTCTCTGGGTCCCAGGCACGAGCTCCATGCATTGATTTCTGCTGCTCCGGGCTGGCACAGACACACCAACAGCTCCACCCCCTCTCCAGAGCTGCAGAGAGAGCAAGAATTGGGTCTGGCACCTGCCTCGTCCGGGTTGGCAGAGATGGAGCAATCCAGCGCAGCGGAAACCCCTCCCGGGTGCCCTGACCTTCACGCCTGGCTCCCCTCATCCAGATCCACCATCCCTTGGCTGCCTGCCTGCCCTTCCCATGGACTGTACCACCTCCCCGGCCCAGACCAGCAAGACAGAGCCTCAGTGTGATGGGGTCCCAGGCCTCCGAGAGCACCGGGTTCCATGTGCAATGCTTTTCAGGAGGACCGTTATCTGATGATAAAGAGACGTTGGTAAGAGAACCCACTTACTCAGAAACCCGGCTTTCCGTAAGCTCTTTTCTTAACTCCAGCCTCCTTGGGGCTGCATCTGCTTTTCTAGAAGGTAGAGTCCATCTGTGTTGGAATCTCCCGTGCTCTACGCAGAAGCCAGGACACCAGTATTTTCTAAGCACGCTGGGTGATTGTCATGTACGCACAAGCTAAGATTTACCCTCCGGAGTAAGATGGATGCCATTCCGAGTGTGCAGGGATCGAGCGGCCCCAGATGACCAAGAAGACTCGGAAGGGTCACCTCTGGCCCTCCATCTCTGAGAGGCCCCACCTCCTACAATTGATAACTTCGTTGTCCCTGAACCTCCTCTAACAATTTAGAAGCTGATTTTCCAGAAATAGGCATTCTCTTTTCTCAGTTTCTTAGTCTGAGAGTTGTTGGGAGTGCGTGCCTGCATGCGTGTGTGTGTGTGTGTGTGCGCGCGCGTGTGCATGCACATACGTGCATGAGTGTCGTGTGCCAGAGTCTTGGAGCAGGAGAGAGAAAGGAGAGCATTTGCCCTGCACAGCCATTGAGATAGAGGATCTAAGACACTCCATTTTATTTTGCCCTGTGGATCTGGAAGCTCCATCATTCCTTGAGAGCAAGTCTGATGAGCTCACAAGCTAGAACAATTCCCAGAGAGGAGTGCTACTTCCTGCCTGAGACAAAGAGTGTTTATCGCCTAAGTGACTTGTCTGAGCTCTCACGGCAGCCAGGATTCAAATGCCACTTTTTTGCTTGACTTTCTTCCCATGACCCTACACTGGGTCCCTACATGGGAAGCTATTTCAGACAGATATGATCCCCATTGGGCAAGGAATCTCTAGTGCTGTAAAAGCCACTGAAAATTCTTGCAAGCTTGGGGCAGGATGGTTTTCTTATCTGCAGAATGGGGGATGAGACGCTGGATGGGGGTAATACCCACCCCAGAGCGGTGGGTCCCCAGACCCAGCCCTACCTAGAGTGTGGACTCCCTTAGATCTATAACATCTCCCTTCCTGAGCTAGGGTGCCTTCAGACACTTAGATCGGGGAATAGGGGATCCTGAGTTAAGGTTCCAGACCAGTGTACTCAGGGGGGGCACACTAATAATAAACAAGAAGGAATCTTTCCCTGAAGGAAGTCACAGGCTACTGGAAGCTTCCGGGAAGCCAGGCTGCGCCGTCATAGAGGCAGATCCACTCTCCTGCCCCAGCCCCCGCTACCGTGATATCCACCCCCCACTGCAATGCCCCTCCCTATCTGAGTGTTCTGTCTGACCCACATCCCCTTCCTCCCTAAAGCCTGAGCTCACAGTGGCCTTTCCTGCCTGTGCACCTGTTATTCGGGGGAAGGTTGTGTGAGGGGGGGACAAGTGAACAGCTCTGGGGTTCAAATTCCCATGCCACAGGGTGGTGGCTCTGTGGCCCTAGCCTGGTTGCTGAACTTCTCTGAGCTTCCATCCCCTCTTGTGTGAAATGGAGGTGACCAGAGTTAGCTTGTGGGGCTGCCCTGAGGGTGATAAGTATAGGAACAAGAGTAAGAGCTCAGGAAATGTTGCCGGAGCCCGTCACACCTGCTTGGTCTTTTCAACTTGACTGTAAGCAGCTCCTCGTCCCCATAGCCTCATGGTGCAGGGAGGTGGTGGCCTGGGGAATTATCTGTGCTTCTTGCATTCTCTGGGGCTGGGGTCCTGGAATACGGCCTGGGGATCCGAGTGGGTCGTGCCTTTTCTGGTCCTGCTGTACCACCCAGAGGACCTGGCCGAAGCCCGTGGCCTCTCTGGAGGCCTGCATGGTCAGAATACGGCCACCAGGGGGCAGCAAGTCTTCTGTGATAGCCCAGGTGGGTGTGAAGGTGGGAGTGGGGCTGAGGGTCCAGGTAGCCCCAGCCCCAGATGTGGGATCTATCTTAGGGAGCCCAGAAGCCAGCTCTGCTACATGCCCAGAGATGGGCACGGGAAGTGATTCCAGGCTGGACCTCGGCTCTCCTCCGGAGTCAGACGACATGTTTGTCCCTGGTGCCCACTGTGGGCCGCACTGGTCACGTCCCCAAGGGGGTGGGGGGAGCCAGTGGGCACAGATTCCTGTCTCTCCAGAGTGCCCACTGCACCTGCTGCTGTTTATCTGCCAGTGACTAATACTCCTGGGGGGATGGTCCATTTCACCAAGGCTAGGGAAACAACAGTTCGTGGGGCCACGGGGTCTTGGATTCCCAGAGCTGCTGGTGGCCTGATCAGGCTTGTGCCAGGGGTCACTGCCACCACTGCGCACAGCTGCCTGCCTTCCACACCCACAGCCCCCCGGGGAGCCCCCCCCTCGCCCCCCTGCCTGCCCCCCCCCCCCCCCCCCCCTTCAAACCTGGCCCATGCGGTCTCCCTCTAGATGTGAACCCTACCCATGGCGGCCTCATCCCTGCCCTGCACTGGTTCCCCCCTACGCCCCTTATGCCCTCCTGTCTGAGGCCACAGATGGGATCCTTCTGCCTTGTCCGGAAGTCCTCACTCTCAGGATGTAAATGCCCTGGCTGAGCCCAGGCCAGTCCCCAGAGTGCCCTGGAGCACAACGCAGCCTATCCAGAGCCCCAGTCCAGGCCCCTCCTCCAGGCCTCCCTCTCAGCCTGACCCCTGCCTGTGCAGGCTCGGGGGATCCTGGTTTGCTCCAGGCAGCATCCACTGTGGAGACTCATTCCCCTGAGCCTCGGCCCCACCCTTTCCTTCCTCCTCCTCCCTCCTCCCACCACCCCACCTCTCTGCACTGACCGGCTCCGTCTCAGTGCTGCGGGAAGAATTGTAGGGCAAACCACCCCTTGGAGAGCTGGCGATGCTGGGAGGGAGCTGCGGGGACTCCCAGAAAAGCCACGAGGTAACCTAGGACTCAGGACCCAGGAGCATGACGCTTGAGGGGCGGGAGGCAGGTAAAGTATCCAGAACGAGGTGGGAGGGGAGAGGACAGTGGCAGGCAGGTGAGGGACAGGCGAGGAATCTAGAAGCTTGAAGCTGATCACCAGTGAGAGGTGGGCGGGGAAACTAGGCTTAGCTGGGGTGGGGGAGGGGGGGCGACATGTG